ACCATCATGCGTGCTTTTCGCCAGCTATCAGTCGAAATGCTTGAATAAGTCATCAATCTGAGACGTAGCCACAAATTTTGAAAGACATAAACTTCAAAAAAGAAATACGAATATGTTCTTTAGAATGATAATAAACATTCTCCATTAAATTTGAAGTTTTTGTATTTTTCCTTTAAAAAATTAGGTTTTCTTAAAATAGATTACCTTTTTTAAAATCCATCACCGTTTACGAAAAGCTCTTAAAGYTTTAAGCTTTATATGMATTTTCTGATACACGGTGTTACCCTGTAACCTTTTGATGTCACCTTGGCATTCGCTATTGAATGTAAAAAAATAGAAAGTAAATACGAAAATGTTTCGAGGCGACAAATTTATCGCGATYGCCATAGCCTTACTGTTTTGCGCAAAAACTTTCTTTATGTCCTTCTTTACGCTCGATCAACATCCACGTAACTATCAGCTAAAAGTGCAGCGTAGCGGTGGGTATAAAGGAGTTTTCGAAAGAAAGAAATATTTTTGTGAAAAAATCACGAAATCTTACCAGTAACGGGAAATAAAATCAGCGAAATATCAAAAATTTGAAAGCGTTAATAAAAATCGTTCTTTTTTTTATTGCTAATTACAGCTTATGGYCATCCAACGACCTACTTATGGGTCACGTTCCTATCGAATTTGACCGCTTTCATGGCGGGTTTCTTTCTGTTTGCTGGACTCTGTGAGGTGATGTAACTCTATGTAATGACATCCGTTATAAAAAATTAATAATTTTACTTTTGTTGYTTTCGCAGAGTTTATACGCTTTCTTTTCGCCAGCTTTCGCCGTTATCGTGTGCTTCATTGTGGGCGATTTGTTCTTCCATTGCCTTTTTCTATTCGTCGCCGTTGAATTTCATATGCTTATGGTATTCAATTTGTGTACCACGGGTGAGTAGCTAAGAACAGTAATTGTTTTACATAAGAAGAGAGAGTCTTCTGAGCAGCTGGTTCTATTTGAGGATTTTTTCAACACAGCAGTTTGTTTATTTTAAAGAATTTTTTTTTTTTTGGTTTTAGGAAGATTTTTTAGCTTTTAATCTTTACTYTTGCAGTTGTGTTTGCTGGTTGCATGTACTTTGTTTATAGATACTCTAAAGAATTTGATGAACTCAATCCCGAGCAAGTTTTGCAGCGMAATGGATCTGTAAGCGAATAAGTTGTGGATAAGCTGTATTTTACTTTAAATTGAAGTGAAGAAAAATATTTTAAAAATTAAACTAAAATTACATATTAAAAGATATATAAAAAATCATTACTTCATATGTATACCTTGACTCTGATCCTCTTTAGTCTCGTACCATTAAGTATTTATAAGAAATAAATAAACTAATAAATACATAATTAACTTCTCACCTCAATAATTGAAAGCTTAACATAAATCATATCAAAACATATTCAATTTCAACCACAAATCTATAAATTCAAACTC